CTCTGCTCTTCACTGCTGGGCAGCAAAGCCGTTTGACCTTCAGCTCATCTTGGCTTGCCAAGACTGAAGTCCAGGTGGTGTAAAAGAGCTCAGAATTCAGCCATCCAGACAACTGCAGCTGGAACACAATCACAGCAGGGGTTTTTTGGAAGTTAGTAGGGTAGGATTGGCACTCTTACCTTTCAAGACAGAACATGTGCTACCAGCTAATTGTTGGTAATTTCTAGGAAGGAGGAGGGTGGGAAAGTGGAAAAGACAGTAGAAGTGGAGAACTACTTGCATGTCTGAAAGTTTGGGGCAATTAATGCTTTGCTTGTGAAAGAAGGTGGGGAATATTTAGTTGGGTTTCTATGTAAGTCTCTATTTCAGTGTTGGAAATGTGTGCCCAGAAAAGGGACAGCTGTGGAGGGAGAAGCTGTGGAGGTGCAGGAGGTCAGGTGTGAGTGTGCCCTCATCATTGTTCCATACATTAATTACTGGAAGTGAAGGATGTGCTAAAAGTAAACCTGGCTCACCGTCCTATTGTCCCAGTCCCGGGCTCTTGGCAACGTGCAGCTTAACTTTATAACCCGTGCTCTGCTTTTCCCATTTATTTTACTTGATTAGCAGGAAAACATCCGTCCTGGGAGCCAAGTGGGACTGCAGGAGCAGCCCTATTCACCAGTACTTTAATCCCTGCTTTCCTTTCAGCACACAGAAGCCCCAGCCCCGTTCCCTGCCAGTGTTTGTGTTTGTACCATGAGCACGGGCACTGGAGAATTGCTTAATGAGCACCTCGTTAGCTTGGTTTCATTTAGCTCTGGGTAGTTTGGGCTTGCACAAAACCTGCTTTTGTGCTGAGAGATGTGGAGGACATTTCTCTGGACAAATGTCACCCAGGTTCTTTTGCTGCAGGACATCTCGAGGCATAGCCCTGCTCCCATCAGTGGCTGCTGGGAGGTTGGGAGCACTGGTGGGTGTCGATGGCACTCCCACCCTGCTCCCTGACCCCGCTGCCCATGGCCCCAGCAGCTCTGCCTGCTGTTGTTGGACAAAGTTTGTCTTCCTCTTTGTAAAAATCAGCACCTCACCAAGGGTAAAATCTGATCTTTAATGTGGGAATAAAAGAAGTGACCACAGGCTTGAGTCTTTACTGCAGGATGTTTTCTGTTGGGATTCGTGCCCTCGGGGTACCCACCCACTTGCTTGTCTACCTGGAAGATATTATTATCTTTTATGGGATAGATCAAATTGTGTTTTTTAAAGGCAGTTGCCTGAGGCTCTTGCAAATACGGAGTTTCATGTGATTCCTGCAGATGCAAACATTGGTGGTTCTACCAAATAACAGAAAGCAACCGAGGAGGGAACGGGAAATAAAACTATCCAGAATTGGGTATAAAATCTGTTCTTTACTCATCTTGCTTAAAACTGTGCCAAGAGCCACAGAAATAATAACTCCTAATCTTTTATTTTCTTTTTCTTCCCTTCTGAAACAAACAGCTAAACCCCTGCTGTGAGCCCTGCTCCTCACTGCTCTCCTGCTCCTTCCTGTGCGTTGTTTCACCGCTCCCTGGTGCTTTGGCAGGACTTGCCAGCTTTGTGTTGCCATCAGCTTTCATTAGTTTATGGTTTACTTTTCTCTTCCAGGCTCACTGGTGAAAGGGTGAAGTAAAATCCTTGCAAAGTACAGCTGTAATCCCTTTTGTCCCAGTGATTTTCCCTTCAGACACAATCCCTGACCTTTCCCTATCGAGTTGTTCTACCCACCTTGGCTCTTGATTAAGGTTGTTATAATTTTAAAAGTACCATGTGGGAAACACTGTGTTATAAAGTGCTGCAGAGCATCAGAGAGGGAGCAGCTTTTTGGTGATGTTATGGTTTAAAAAGCCACCTGTGCAGGTAATTCATGAATTCAGGTACAACTTGTAGTCATTGTAACTACATTGGTGTGGGTGTGGCTGTGAAAGGCTGAAATCTTGAGTTCCAGGCCCACTCTCCATCCACTGCTCTGCTTCCTTTAGGATGCATGTAATAATAATCCAGTAATCCCATAGATATTTGATGATTTCCCACTGTTCTTTATTGTGCTTGTGCTTTGTCTTCCAATTAGAACATGGCTTTGAAATTCAGCTTTTTCGCTGCTCCTGGAATTTTTTTGTGCTCCTCTCTCTTTTCCCACTGGAAGTCCAGGGAGATGTCCCAGGATCAGAAGTTCATGTTGACAGGGACACTGGTGCTGAGGCTGTGCCAGGTGTGCCCAGGGAATGGGAAGGGGAGGCTGAGGGTGACCCTGCTCCCAGCAGGGGCTGTTTGGGCCGTGAATCCAAAGTGAGCAGCAGCGTTCCTGGCAGCATTCCCGGCATCCCCTGTGCCCAGAGCTATTCCTGCTCATCCTGTGTTTGTGCCGTGCCTGGGAACAGGGCTGGGATTTCGGGGCAGGCAGGAGTTGAGCCCCTGTTTGTGGGGTGATTGTCAGGAGCGACGCTGCCCTTTGCTGCGGCCACTTGTAAGGATTTGCACCCCAGGAAGGGGAGACCCCAGGCAAACAACCAACATCTGGGAAGTAAATCCAGCTCATCCCTGTGCTGGCCTGACGTCATGTGTGATTTCTGTGGTTGCCAGGCGACTCCAGCTGCTCCAGCCTCCTCCTCTCTGAAGGGGGGATGCGTGGAAAGCACCACGGGTTGTGCTTTATCTGCCCCTGATTCCTTAGTGCTGCTAAAACCTTACTCCTCTTTCAGCAGAGAGGGGTTTTTCAGAACCCTTGCAAATAAAATCCTTCCTTTTTTTTTTTTTTTTTTTTTTTTTTTTTTTTTAATTATTATTATTTTTTTTTAGGGGCTGGTGGTTCTGGTGCATTTTAAAATCAACAAGGCAGCTTGTTAACTCCGAGCTGGGTGCTGGCACTATATATCATTTATGTTTTGATCAAGGAGAAAAACAGTTTGTGGAGGAGATGAAAAGGGAGATGACTGCAGGGCTTCGGAGTGCTGGCAGGAGGGTGCATCAGAGCAGTTTTTGATGTAGTTTTATATAAGATAAGGGCCCTACATGTGAAAAACAAACTACTCTTTGGTCCTTAATATTTCCTCCTTTGAGTGCGTGTAACAAATAAATTGTGAAGTGTGTACAAGTGAGTGTGGTTGCATTTCCTGAGCATGGATTTAGCTTTTAAGGACATTAGCAAGGGGAATTTGCAACCGTTTTTGGCCACTTTTCCTGCCACGTTGCAACTAAAGAAGCAGATTAGATAACTGGGAAATGGAATCCGTGTAACTAAAACAGATGAAGGAATTTTTATTAGTCCTTTTTTCCCCCCCTTTTATGCAGGTGTATAGGCAGGAGTTGCTTGGGGGCACCAAGATCTGCTGCTTGATACGCTCCAAGTAAAAAGGCTGGAGGAATTTTAGGTGCTGCTGCTCCTCCTGGGCTGAACTGGAACTTTGCAGAGCCCTTTGTAAGAGGATTGTGTGGAGCTGAGCACTTACCTGGCTGGGCCAGGCAGGCTGGGGTGCTTTTGGCCTTTCCTGCTTTGTCACCTAATCCCTTCAGAGAAGCTTTGAAAAAAACATTGCCTAAGTGCAATTATCCCGAGCAGACTGAACTGGTTAATGAAGGCCAGAGGAGTCATTGCTGCCCTTAAACCCTTGGGGTGCCTTGAATGGAGGACAGAATTTTTTAGAAATGATGTGGACACCGAGTGGAGGATTCATCGTATTTTCTAATCAGATAAATGCTGTGAGAGGATCTGCAGATGAAAGAAAGCTTTTCCTTTTATCTGACTTTCTTGGGGATCAAATTTTTTACCAGAAATTAAAAATACAGCACTCAGCCCTTCAGGGGTTGTTTTCCAGGTCTTGTCTAGACTCAAGATGCTGATTTAATCCCCTGCTTTGACACTGCTGGGTGATGCACTTTCATTTCCATATTGTCCTGGAGACATTTCTCTTTAATTGCCTGCTGGGCCACACTCCAGAGTTGGGAGGTCCAGAGAGCACATTTCTCTTCTGAAGGTCTCCAGGCATCTTTTTGGAAGGAGGAGAGCTCAGCGTGGAGTGTTTTCACCACCCTTTATCAGAGGTGTTTCTGGAGCCCTTCAGGTCTTCCTGCTCTAAATGCCCACTTGAAAGGCCACACAAGTTTGCAAAGACTTGGAGATGGTTATGGGAAGATAATTAACCTTTTTCTGTGCTCAGGGACAGGAGTTTTGATGGTGATTATACAGAGCTGATGGCCTCTATTGAAAAATAGAAATCCAATCATTGAGAAAGTTTCTTTTCTGGAAAAGATTTCTGCAGGCTGGGGATGAAAGCATTGCTTAGCAAAGCTTGGATCTCCTTCCTGGGCAAATGAAAGCCTTCAGTGTGGAAAAAAATACTGCACTTCTGTTGGAGAAAGGAACATTTTCAAGGCATCTTAGTTTATAAAGGATGTTTAAATGAATTTTTTTTTGGGGGGAAGTGAAAACCTTTCAGCTGGCCTAATAAAACAATTTTTTGTTCTTTAAAAGCAAAGAGTAATGAATATCTCTGTGTAAAGAGACAGTTAAGAATGCCTAAATGTCACTTTAAAAGGACAGTGATGCATAGGGAAGTACAAATTTTATTGAGCAGTCAAGGTCCTCGTGCTTCAGAGAAGCTCAATAAATTGCTTATGCAGTGCTGGAGTTTACAAGGCCAAAAAGAAAAAGGGATCTCAGCGTGCCTGTGGTGAGAATCCTCTGTACACTTTTAAGTCTTGCTTCTTAGAAATGTGTCAAAGCAAGGAATTCTTGGGTTTCCTTTAAAACCAAACTGATTTCCTTAGGCTGGAAAAGGAACACTTTAAACCCACTGCTGAAATGTTTAGATCACTTTAAATGCCAGTCCACCCCCAGAAAAAAATTAAGAAAATGCAGCTTTCTCTTCTCCTCTCTTTGCTTTCCTGTTGATTTTATGGATGTGTGGGGGGACACTTTGGGCTCTGCATCTTCGAAGGAAGTAACTGTGGCTCATGTTTTCCTGTGCCCACTCTTGCTGCAGGTGCTGAGGATGTGGTGATGGCATTTTCCAGATCAGAGACAGAAGACAGAAGACAGTAACCCCAGGCCACCTGAGCAACACAGAACTGCAGAGGACACTGAGACCCCTGAAGATGGAGGAGGATGGCTGAGCGTTAATGAGTTCCTTTGCCCACCCTGATTGTCCCTTGGTGTTCCTTCTCCTTTGTGATGTTGTTCCCCTTGGCCCAACCCTCAGAATGCATCTCCCAGCCATCCCTCCCTGTCAGGTTTTGCCACCCAGCCGGGCTGTGTTAATTAAGGACAGCCCCCAAGGGGTGAGCTTGGTTGGCTCAGAGGGACAGGGCAGTGGTTGGGGCGAAAGGAAGGCAATTTCTCCAACTTGACCAATGGGAAACCTTTTATCTCACACTTTATTTTGTATCTCAAAGAAAAGTCCCTCGACATTCTACTTCTAAAAGAAGCTTTTCATGCTGTGGTGCTTATTTAGGTCAGACTTGTGAATTTGAAGAGGGGTTTGATTTGGCTGCGTAGGACTGGAAGCGACTTGTGATTGGGTGACAATGCAAATGCTTTCCCTTCAGTTGGCTTGCAGGTATTTTGCTGACTCCCAACGTTTTCCTTGCAGGAAGCTGATGATTTTGGTGCATTGGTTATTTCTTTGTACTCACTGACTTGGGGAGGGGAGGGGAGGGGAAGGAGACAAATGTGCTTTGCAGTATTTATTACATCTACACATATAAACGCTTGCTTTTTTTTGGGTGGGTTGTTTTGTTTTTTGTTTGATTGGTTTTTTTTCCCTGATTGGCTTTGAAGTCATGGGTTTGATTTCCTCTTGGCTGCAGTGTTTCTGATGCAATCAGTTTTTCCACGCTCAGCTGCTCTGTGGCCTCGAGCTGTTTTTGGGAGCGTCTGTGGAAAAGCATCTTGGGTTCAGTAAAATCCACCTGTTCAGGCTGGAAGGTGGGAGATTCCCAGCCCTGCTTTGGGAGGGGTTGCTGTGCCACGAGCTCCTGGCACACCTGGCTGCTCAGGTGGCTTCTCCCTTTGCTTCTGACACAGGAGCTGTAGATGTTTTGCAGGAATTGCAAGGATCAGATCTATGGCTGTGACGTGAATTTGCCAAATTTGTATAGAGAATATGTGAGCTTGTTTAAAATAGTACAGAGAGTTCCACTTTAACCCTTTAATTGCTGCACAGGACTAGCTCTCACGTTAGGAAAAATTAATGATCATTGACTTAAACCCAGCTTGCACTGGGGTTTACTAAACTTAAGTGTCTGGTCACGTGGAAAATTGTACATGCTTTGCCTCCTTGCAGCTGTTTGGTGACAGGGAGATGATGTGGATCCCAAGAGAATACTATTTTCCTTAGGCACTGTTCCAAGAGGCAGGAGCTGCACTAAGCTGTCCAACACTGAGTGTACAGGTGACACTCTCAGGTTTACTCTCCTTGTAGCTGCAGGGCCTTAAAACACACACACAAACACACATTTACAGACTGAAAAACCTGCAGTGGAATTCCTGAAGTGCACTGACTGTCCAGGAATCTGCACATGGTCTTTTAGCACTGCTGCCTCCAACCAAGCACTTCATTCTCTCTCGTGTGTGCAGGTGGTTTTTACAAAACTTCTGGATTTTTGCTGTGGGTTGCACTGACTTTGAGATGTTTCAGAATCTATTAAAGCTGAACTCCATTCACCTGTCCCTGGTTCCTTTGCTATGGTTGTTAATTACTTGGCTGTGACAACATGACCATGTTTGTGGCAGGAAGTTGTGCTGATAGGAGGCTGTTGGGGCATCCAAATAGGGGAGAAGCTGGATAAAAACATGGACTGTGCAGATGGAAGAACGGACTCGTGAGCAGAAGGAGGAGATTACCTTGAGCTAATCAATCCTGTGTGATGAGAGCAACTGGACATCTATTTATGAGAACACTCCTTTTGATTCAGTGGCAGCTTTGTGAAGTTCAGTGTGAAAGCAAATCTCTCACCCCTGTTCGTTGGGGCTGGAGGGGAAATTTCTTTATTAAAATAAACCAGGAATAAGCCCAAAAGATTGTTTAAATTCTGACCTGGTTGCCTAAGAGGCACTTTAATGTTTGGTGCAAAGGGGGGCAGCCCTTAGAGGGTTAATTTTGGGTGGGGGGGAGAGGTGTGTGTTTCTGGCTGGAAAGGATGGGCTGGATTGTGGGAGCTAAAATGAATCCTCCTTGTGTATCTATGGCATTCCTGAGCTGGTAAAGCTTTTCAAGGGGAAAAGTGTTCATGTGGTTTAATCTTTTCACTGAAAATGTAACTGTTTGGGATGGGGGGGGAGGGGAAATACAGTTTTTAATAGCTGCTCTCGTTGCATATTGATTTCTTACTGTTGAACTGCCCAGTGAGACACATTTGCTTCACCTCTGTGAGGGACTCCCACAGACACTCCCAGCTTGGGGTCTTGAGTAGAATGTTGAGAAGGATATTGTGACAAAAGCCAGTGTGCTGTGTAATCACATGATATGGAGTTAAACACTGGAGGAGTTGGAATCTCTTGAGGACATTTGTGCTCTGCCCCTCCCCACCTTCCACCAGGGCTGGAAGATCTGTACTAAGGAACTCATCTGTAAATCAGGGAGAAAGCAGTGGCAAAGAGGGCTTTCCAGTGTTCCCTCTGGGTTATATTTCTAAGTATTTATCTTCTTGATTTCTTCAATGAAAACACCATCCCTATTCCAGCTGTGGAACCTGGATTAACTGATGGGTGGAGATGGATGAAGTGGAGATTCCCCCCCCCCCAGTACGTGAGCACGGTGGACTTGCCTGTTGTTTGTACACATTTCTCGAGCTTTCCTTTGTGCTTTTGCCTTTTTAATCAAACCATTACTGATAAAACTAAGAACTGCAGTGGTTTAGGGGTCAGAGGTGAGCACAGATCTGATTTGAAACGTGTCTGTGGGTAGAAAAGGCTGTGTAGTCACTACCAACCAAATAGTGCTTAAGGCATATTCAGCAAGGGAGTGGAAAAGCTTCAGAGGCATCTTCCAAAAACCACTCCTTGGGTGGTCTTTTTGGGAGACATGTTCCTCTAGATACTCACAATGTGCTGTTCTGTTGCCAAGCTGATCAGGTACCTCTCCTAACCAGGTTTTCCAGAGCTTGAGAAGGCTCAGAGCTGACCCAGACCCTCTTCTCTCCCCACATGGGCTGTTTGTGGCTTGTTGTGGCCCCTTGTAAATGAAAATGAGGCTTCACCATTCACACAGACCTTGAGTTTGATTCTCCCAGGTCCTAAAACAAACCCTGGAGTCCCAGAACACGTGAGCTGGAGGCACAGCAAGGCTTTGGGAGGAGATGCTGCCTGGAAGAAGCTTGGACCACTAATAAAATAAAATAAGCTCTTCAGGGTTTGTTTGTTCCTGTTCCTACCTAAGGTAAGTAGTTACTAGAAGTTGTATCCTCTTGGCTGTTCTGTGGCCTGTGTGAAAGTTTCTAATGCTTTACCATTAAATCTGTTTCAGTTCCACCAAGTCTGTGTTTCTCATTCACCAGCAGCCTGAGGAGTTCTGGTGAAGGCTGAGGATTAAATGGCCCATGAAATGCAAAGAGCAGAGATCATCCTAAACAAGACCTCAGGGTCATATGTGGGATAAATTTCTATAGTTATTGAGAGTCCCTTACAAGAGCAGAGCAGTGCCATGTCTGAAGCTACCAGTATTTTATATTGCAAGAGGGGGGAAAAAAGGGCCAGAAGTTAAAAGCTTTGAGTCAGATATATAGATATATATATAATGTGTTAGAAACTATTTTATGAAAGATACTGAGTGCCTGGGCAGGGAGGGGAAAATATGATTTGGATTCCTTTAAGATCAGTTCTTCAGCTTTCTTTTTGGTCTCTTGCCTCCTCAAGGACTGTGGCAGAGCTGACAGCACAAAAGGCTGCAGGGCACTGGGAACAGCAGGAACCAGGAGTGCAGCAAGAACAGCTGCTGGAATTTTAAGAAATCTTGAGTTGTATTCAGTGTCTCCAAAACAAAGAGTCCTTAGTGAGTAGCATCTCTTCCTCACTGTAACCCATCAGTAACAAAGTGTTCCAAAGCTCAGTTGTTAATAAAGAGCTTTTAAGAAGCTTTGTTCAAGCTGCACAATAGTTGTTTTAGGTGTAACAGGAGCACTAAAGTGCTGCACAGTTGCTGCCTTGTGGGATATTTGCTGAAGGCAGGTGATTTTTAACCCACCTGACAGCAATTTGGTACCAACAGCATCATCCTCATCCTCATCCTGCTCCACATCCAGAGGGTCTGGAGCTGTTTGTTGCCCAGTGCTGCACTCAGAGGTGAAGGTTCTGTGCAGGGCAAATCCCTGCTCGCAGCATCCACAGGAAATGACATTTATTGCTCAGCTTCTTTGGGGTGAGATGTTTTTATTTGTTTTATCTTCTGACAGGTGTTTTATTTCTGACAGTATTCTTCAAGATCCTGCCAGTTAGGCCTGGATGACTTAAAGTTAGGCAGTGTAAATGGCCTCTCACCAGACTAGCTTTTAAGGGTGTTAAAATGCCAAGTTTCTGTAATCAGGAGCCAGGCACAGCACTGAGGGGTGATGGGTGGACAGACTTTCCTTGCAGCCTCAGGTGATCAGTGATTTGCATCCTGCCAAGTCTGTACCCTGTGTACCTGGGAGTTCTGGAGCAGCCACTAAATAGGTCACTGCCTTGCTGGGGTGGTTCTTCCAGGCCTGCCTCAGACTTGCTGTATTTACAGGCACTTTGCACTGCAGTTTCCCCTGAAGCTCCTTGTTACTGCTGCTTTTCACAGTTCTGCAAGTACAAAAGTGCTGTACAAGAGGGAGGACCATTGTTGTTACCAGGGTAGGAGCTTGGATGTGTTCCCTGTCAGAACCAGGTAGGTTCCCATCCAGAGGCAGAAGGGAGAGATCACCTCCTGCCTTCTGAGCTCTGCTTTCATTTGCTCTGCAGCTGAATTGCCCTGAGCAGGATTCCTGCAGTACCTCGTAAACAACCTGGCTGCTTTCCCTTGTAGCCTAAAGCACTTCAGTTTTGGGGATTGTTTATTTTGGAAAGGAGAAAAAGTGGGGATTTTTGATGCTTTATAGCCTGGCCAGCTTACAAGCTGCCTCATGTATCAGCACGAAGCTGTTCTGATGTTCTGTGCACTGAGCTTTTTGCTGCCCTGACATTTTCCAGGTTAACTCTCCTTGCTGTTCAGTGGTGCTCTGTGAGCAGAGCCTGTGAGACCAGGAAATGAACTTCCAGCCTTTGTTTAGCAATTACAGTGCCAACTCACACGTGGACTGATGCATCTGTACCTCAGACCCGTTGGTTCAGCTGAATCCTGAGGTTGCATCTGCGTTCTGAGTGGAGGCTCTTACAATATGTAGGGACCCATTTAGTTAGGTTTGTGTTTGAGTGGGTGTTTGTTTACCAGTGTTCTTGGCTTCACTGCTGGGGTTTTAGCCCCAGGGGGAGGGTTAGTTCCCCGTGGCTCCTTTGCACAGCTACTTTCCACTTTCGGGAGACACAAATCATCATGAACTTGTACAAGCATGTGGAGTGTGCCCTGCAGTCCATGTGCTGCCACATAACACATTCCCACTTTGCAGTGAGGTGGAAGTAATTTTCCTACTCAGGCAGGGCATAACTCAGTACTCTCCTGGTGCTTGCAATATTGGAAGTGATGGCAGGAACAAGGTTGACTGTTGTGCAAATACCTTTCCCCAGATGAGGGGAATTCTGTGAGATGAGGATGATATTATATAAATTCACCTCAGGGCTGGATGCAGAGCCTCAGCTGGCCAAGGATGTGGCTTCAAACCCTGCTGTTCTACCTGGGGGAGGGAGGTTGTTTTAAGCTGCCAGAGGAGCCCAGCAGTTCCTCTTGTTTCCTGCCCTGAGTCTGTTCTTTCAGAGAAGCTCAAGGCATAATTGTGGTCCAAGACTGCAGAGCCACTTGTGACTGGAGCTGAAACAGAGCTGAACAGTGCCTGGGGTTGCAAACAGGAGCCCTGTGTTCAGCTGCAGGAGCAAGGAAGTGGCACTGGAAGTTCAGAGTGTGGCCACACTGATGGTTTTGGGGTTTGGTGGTGTTTGACTGTGAAGGATGGAAAGTTCCCTTGCTTTGAGAGGGCTGCTGCTTCAGAAGGGAGCAGCTTGGGATGTTATGAGCTATGTACACGTTTGTCCTGTGAAACAGGAGAGTGCATGGAGTTACCTGCCCAAGGAATGACACAGGAGCTCATGATGCTGCTGACTGTGCACTGTAATCCCTGCTCAGCTCTGCTGTGACCTCCTAATCACAGGGCACGGTGTGGATTGCACTGAACGTGATTGGAATGGACAGTGGGAGCCGAGCGTTTCCCTTCAGCCTTTTGTGCTGTACCTCGAGTGCCTGGAGCAGCCAGACACTGCCTGTGTGTGCTGATGGCTTGAGCAGCTCCAGTGAGTGCCTGTGCTGGGCACAGCCAGCCTGGGCTCCTGCAAGGACAGCACTTCCAGCACAGTCTGCACTGGGGGGTGTTTTTAAAGGCTTGTTCTGAATCTGGGGGTGTGTGAGGAGGGAGATGGGGCAGGGCAGGAAGGGATGAGTTGCTGCAGGTGGAAGCACAGGGGGACAGTTCTGCCTCGCTGTTGTGTTCTCATAAGCCTCTTTGAGCCTGCACAGAGATGGTAATTAAACCAGACAGAATCTTAAGCCTTGCCTCGCCAGC